TGATTTTATATTAAATCATACATTGGCCCCTCTCAACTGCCTTTTCCTGAAGATATAAGTTGCTGCTGTTAGAATTAACTTAATATAAAAATCTTATAAACTATGTGGCTGTTGTGTTTAAAAGACTGACCTCTGGCCTCCTTAAATCCTGGGACGCTCCACCGAAAATACTAACTTTTCATCTTTACTCTTAGCATAAGGATGGGAGTTTTTCTTAATATTAATTTCAAAATATAATTTGCTCAAATTTTAAAAATATTAATTTGAAGTTAAGCAAAAAGGAAATATGTTAAGAAAATGTTTGCAGAGTATGAGAAAAGAAAATTTGAGAGTGAAATAAATATTGCTTCTGAAAGCTACACCTGTAAGGCAGCCTTCAAAAAACGTGTCTCATCCAAAAGTCTGTGGTAACATTTATATTCACTCACACTCTGCTTTCACTGTCTATTCAAAAATGCTGGGCATTCACACTTCAAAATATCATTTAAGTCATCATATTTTCCTACTCATGAAGGACATCTGGTGGCAAAATGAAAAACTAATACATAAATCTGTTTCCAGAGATTTTTTCCACACTGTAACCCAAACAGCAAAGCTGTTACTTGTACGTGTTTCAAACTTTTCACACGAGCTCAGATCTTTATGGTCCTCGGATTTAGGCTGTCTACATAATATTAAGAAACGGAATATTTTGAGACATCTAGATGATTGAATCATTTTTGAAATTTTCATTGAGTAATTAACATGTGCTCAGTACAATTTTTTGTACTGAGCAAAACAATGCTTAACACATTTCCATGACTAGTTTTACTATCCCCGAAGAGTTTTATTCCAAGAAATCATTAGACACTTAGCTCAACCGGGTAGTGCATGAGGCTCTTGGTCTGTGCTGGCCTCAGAGCTTCACTCCATTCTGTGACCTGGCTCTGTACCCCATGTCCTGGATGTGTCTCAGTGTCAACTAGGAGGTTACATGAAAATATGACATTATCATGCTACCAATCCCCACAACCAGTGGCATGTGGGGCTAGAGAAAACCACACTCACAGTAATATCAGGTTAAAATGAAAGTCACAGACAGCTTTTAAAAGGG